TGTTGGCTTCGGCACTGGTGGTGGTGGTGGTGGTGGTGGTGGTGGTGGTGGTGGTGGTGGTGGTGGTGGTGTTCCCGGTGGAGGTGGTGAAGCTTTCGGTAATTGAGGTGGAGGTGAAGGTGGTGAAGCTTTTGGCAATGGTGGTGATGGTGCTTCGGCGAACGAAGTTCATGTTGATGCTTCGGCCAATGAAGATGGTGGTGCTCATTCTTCGGTCTATGTGGATAAAAATGGTAATTGAGGTGCTATGGCCGATGGTGGTGGCAACGATCTTCGCGACAATGATGATGTTGCTTGATTTGTTTTATGGCAGGTGATGATTTGATTATGTTTTACTTTGTTTGATTGTGCATTCGTATGGCCAAACTTGCTACCTCGTATGTTGTGCATGATTTTCGATATAAACTAGTGCGACATGACTATGTTTATATAAATTCTGTGCATCTATATGTACATGTCAATATTTGCCCGCAATTTTTTTATGGTACCACTAAGCCTCCGGTGCAGAGCAGACCCTGTAAGTCGTCTTGCAAAAAAAATTACAAGATAAGTTTACATGATCTATTCACCGGAGGCCCCGCACTTCTGCAATTTGTTTTTACATGCAGCCCTTATATCAAATTTGCGGGGCGAGGTTTTAGCTGCTAGAGTTGCTCTAACACATGAACTAACAATGCACCCCTTTTTAAGTGAAGGGTAAGTTTTAATCTACACCATAAATCTGTCTTGATAATTGTAAGCTTTGTAGGGGGTGTACTGAAGCACACTCATGTGCAGGACAGCTGAGGAGAATGGTGTCCCAGAGTCGAGACGGTCATTTGCAGACCAAGTCTATGTTGGTTGCACTTGTAATGGCATGACAATGCTATTAAAAGCAAATCAGGATCGCTATTTTTTCCTCCGAGGAGAATAGGATTTGTATTACTCAGATAATAAGAACTCCATCTGTTCCATGTTACAACCGATTGTAATAACATCTACATTATGGGACGGAGGGAGCAGGTAACAATCAAGCAGCTAATGTAAGCTGTGAAACAAAGTCCCATTTACCAGTGCAAACAATTTGGTCCGGACACACACAAAAACGGTTCTACCAAAATTTGCAAACACATGTATCAACCATACTGCGATTAGGGCTAGCTTTCTTGAGCAAAATCTCCCAGATTCCTAATATCAGACACTTACTCTTTGTCAGCAACTGGGATAACTTAGATCGGTCCTCACTAGTACTTATCACCAGATAAAATGATGCACATTTATAACATTGGATGAAAAGGAAACAAAAGGGCAAGTTCCTCTTAGTGCTCGAATTCTCTATCATGCCAAGGATTCGGCGTATTGTACATGAATAGGTTGCCGTTTGCCCATCCTAGTTGTTTTATGTGCTGACAACAAAAATGGGCTCGGGCAATCTATATGAATGCCTCTCGTTGTTCTGTGGGCAGCTTTAGTTCAGGCTCGAATTCTCCTAGTGGGGCAAAGTAAGAATCTACCATGTCCTCGGAAACGAACTCGAGCGCAGGAGGATCCCACTGCAAGAAAAAAAATCTAAAAAGACTACACTAAAAAAGGAAACAATTGTGCAACCAGCAAAATAAAATACCTTTGGGGCCAAGTCCTTGTCAACCAGTCGCGCTCTCACACCCTGCACTACAAAACAAGCCCATCATTACTTGATATTTTGCATTATGTCCACTTGGTCACTCTTTCTGCCATCATACATACCTCACAAAAATCATGATAAAATGGCTTTGAAATGCCATTGATGGACATGCGATATTCGCGCACAAGGCATTCATCAAGTGTCTGATATCTACCTTCACGTATCTACAGGATGGGCACACACGACCTCAGCAACTAGCATAATTACAACTAAACAAAGTTATTTTAGCTTTCTACATACCGATCGTAGTGATACTTTCAAAGCAAGTGGGGAGGCCTCTTTCAATCTGTTCAGTGCCAATGTACACCATTCTTCATTCAACTGGGTTGCTTCACTTTCCTGATTACAAGAGATGAGGTCCTTAAGCCCTCTAAACCATAAGCATTGTAAAGAAAAAGGCTCTGTCATTAGAATCAAAACCTTTAATTCCATAAGCGTAATGAAGTATTGGCAACAAATCGAGGACAAATACCACCGGATCTTGTCGTTCCTCTCTAGTTAGTCATTAAGGTCAATCCAAGGCCGTTGGGACGTGATCAAGAAAACATGTGGTCCATGGAGTGGGTGCTTGGAGCAAGTGCAGAATGCACCTCCAAGTGGTGTCACGATTGACGATTGTGTGAGTGTTTCTTTGTTTTGTTGAATATATTTGTGGCATTGTTCGATTTGATGGAAGTTTGAGCTCATCCTTGCCTCCATGTCCATGTGTAGGATCGCATAGCCAGTCAATATTTCAAGCAAACAACGGGTTTCAACGGCCGGTCATTCACTCTTCACCATTGTTGGCGTTTGCTCAAGGATAGTGAGAAGTGGAGGGTGAGGGACAAACTCCACCAAAGAAAGTTTCTCTTGTCAATTTGGAATACGATAATGATAGTGATGATGTACCAAGGGGAGAAGAAACAAGGGCAAAACCGGATAGAAACAAGCCAGGGTGAAGAGATCGGCCGAGGCATCCACTTTGAGGGATCAAATTAATGAGATGGTGAAGGTGAAAGAAACTATGTTGGCCAAGCATTTGGATACTGAAGTGGCCATAGCCGAGAAGAAAGACAATCATAAGGAGGCAAAGTGGGAGAGAAGATGCGCCTTTGAGGAACGCAAGATCGCTCTAGAGGAGCAAAAGAGGAGGGATGAGAGGACCGCCGAGGTGGACCGGTTCATGATGATGAATCTGGAGGGCATGGATGCAACGCCAAGAGAATTTTGGGATATGAGAAGAATGGAGATCATGTGCCAGGGGAAGATGGAGCTTAAAGATCTTACGACCGGTGGTGGTGGTTTCAACAATGTTGGTCGTGTAGGTTTCGGAGGTAGCGGTGGGGGTTTAGAGGTGGTTTTGCTTCTCGTAATGTTGGTGGTGGTGGGTTTGGAGGTGGTGTTGGCTTTGGCAACGGTGGTGGTGGTTTGGAGTTGGTGTTGGCTTCAGCATTGGTGGTGGTGGAGGTGGTGGTGTTCCCGGTGGAGGTGGTGAAGATTTCGGCAATGGTGGTGGTGGTGCTTCGGCAAATGAAGTTCATGTTGATGCTTCGGCCAATGAAGATGGTGGTGCTCATTCTTCGATCTATGTGGATAAAGATGGTGATTGAGGTGCTATGGCCGGTGGTGGTGGCGACGATCTTCGCAACAATGATGATGTTGCTTGATTTGTTTTATGGTAGGTGGCGACTTGATTATGTTTTATTTTTTTTGATTGCGCATTCGTATGGCCAAACTTGCTACCTCGTATGTTGCGCATGAATTTTGATATGAACTAGTGCAACATGACTATGTTTATATAAATTGCATGCATCTATATGAATTATACTACATGTCAATATTTGCCCGCAATTTTTTTACGGTACCGCTAAGCCTCCGGCACAGACAGACCATGTAAACTCGTCTTGCAAAAAAGGGATAAGTTTACATGAAATGTTCACCGGAGGCCACCCACTACTGCAATTTGTTTTTACAGGCAGCCCTTGTATAAAACCTATAAACTCGTCTTGCAAAAAAAAATTACATGAAAAGTTTACATGATCTATTCACCAGAGGCCTCGCACTACCGCAATTTGTTTTTACAAGCGGCCCTTATATAAAATTTGCAAGACGAGGTTTTAGCTGCTAGAGTTGCTCTAACACGTGAACTGAAAGTGCTACCCTTTTCAAGTGAAGGGTAAGTTTTGATCTACACCATAGATCTATCTTGATAATTGTAAGCTTTGTAGGGGGTGTACTAAAGCACACCTCATGCGCAGGACAGCTGAGGAGGATGGTGTCCCAGAGACGCGACGGTCATTTGCAGACCAAGTCTATGTTGGTTGCACTTGTAATGGCACGACAATGCTACTAAAAGCATATGAGGATCATTATTTTTCCCTCCGACGAGAATAGGATTTGTATTACACGGATAATAAGTACTCCATCCTTTCCATGTTACAACCGGTTGTAATAACGGCAGTACCTTTCTACACCCAGGAGCAAATGCTCCTGGTATGAATAGTAAAATTAAAAAACTAGAAAAAATGTTCAAAAAATTCTGAAATTTTTTTGTGACATACTTTCACAAATGTTTGATGTGCACGCAAAATTTCATTGCGAAATCACATTGGTGGAAGGCGTGCCAAAAAAAACAAAATCAGAGCTCCAAAATGCTTTTGTAAGTAACATTTCCAGAGCATCAATTTTGTTTTTTTTACCACGCCTTCCATTAATGTGATTTTGCGATGAAATTTTGTAGGCACAACAAACATTTGTGAAAGTATGGCACAAAGAAATTTCAGAATTTTTTGAATTGTTTTTGAATTTATTTGATTTTACTGTTCACACCAGGAGCATTTGCTCCTGGGTGTAGAAACTCCACGTCTATTCTTAACATCTATATTATGGAAGAGAGGGAGCAGGTTACAATCAATCAGCTAATGTAAGCTGTGAAACAAAGTCCCATTACCAGTGCAACCAACTTGGTCCGGACACACACAAAATCGGTTCTATTAAAATTCGCCAACACATGTATCAACCATCCTGTGATTAGGGCTAGCTTTCTTGAGCAAAACCTCCCAGATTCCTAATATCAGCCACTTACTCTCTGTCAACAGCTGGGATAACTTAGATCGGTCCTCACTGGTACTTATCACGTGCCGCATGGTAAAATGATGCACATTTATAACATTGGACGAAAAGGAAACAAAAGGGCGAGTTCGTCTTGGTGCTCGAATTCTCTACCATGCCAAGGATTCGGCGTATTGTACATGAATAGGTTGCCCTTTGCCCACCCTAGTTGTTTTATGTGCTGACAACAACAATGGGCTCAGGCAATCTATATGAATGCCTCTCGCTGTTCTGTAGGCAGCTTCAGTTCAGGCTCGAATTCTCCTAGTGGGGCAAAGTAAGAATCTACCATGTCCTCGGAAACGAACTCGAGCGCAGGAGGATCCCACTGCAAGAAAAAAAATCTAAAAAGACTGCACTGAAAAAAAAGGAAACAATTGTGCAACCAGCAAAATAAAATACCTTTGGGGCCAAGTCTTTGTCAACCAGTCGCGCTCTCACACCCTGCACAGCAAAATAAGCCCATCATTACTTGACATTTTGCATTATGTCCACTTGGTCACTCTTTCTGCCATCAACAGATAATACATACCTCACAAAAATCATGATAAAATGGCTTTGAAATGCCATTGATGGACATGCGGTATTCACGCACAAGGCATTCATCAAGTGTCTGATATCTACCTTCACGTATCTACATGATGGGCACACACGACCTCAGCAACCAGCATAAACACAACTAAACAAAGTTATTTCAGCTTTCTACATACCGATCGTAGTGATACTTTCAAAGCAAGTGGGGAGGCCTCTTTCAATCTTTTCAGTGCCAATGTACACCATTCTTCATTCAACTGAGCTGCTTCACTTTCCTGATTACAAGAGAAGAGGTCCTTAAGCCCTCTAAACCATAAGCATTGTAAAGAAAAAGGCTCTGTCATTAGAATCAAAACCTTGAATTCCAGAAAACCACGGAGTTAAAGTGGCTAACTCATACAGTAAAATTATCAAAGAGACAAGTGCATTTCATGGATATAGGCTTGCATCAAAAGAAATCAAGCAATAAGCAAGTCATGGAAGTAAAATGTTGAACCATCACTCACCAATGCATCCACGATCTCTTCAACTGTTTCATGGCTGAAGCATTTATCTATGACCGCCAGCCTAAAGTAACACAAAGGGCACAAATGAGCTGAGCCTCCCACAAAATAAGACATGACGAGAAATTTGCAGAAATCTATGGGGAAAATATTTTTTTAAGAAATCTGAAAGCATGCACATTAAATCCATCTGAACCGCATACAAAAAAACGCATTCACTTAAATCATTTATCATCACCACCACTCCTACTATTATTGGTTTTGGTCTCTTTACAAAACATAAACATTTTACCATTTTGAGGTGACTTCATCTCATCCTTATAACTTGTACTCCATATCACGAATAAGTAACATTTTGGAGACTGACAGTCTATAAGATGTAAAGTTGACCATTAATTTCTACTGTACTCCCCCCTTCTAAAATATAAGGCGCAGTTAACTCTTTTTGATCTTCCACGTACAACTTTGACTATGATTTTCACTTATAGTATGCATACAAAATTAGTATAAGATATATGAAATGAAAATATTTTTGCAAGAAAAATATGATGATGCCACTTATACATGCTAGATCCATATAATTATATATATATGTATGTATGTATAGGTAAAACTGTGTCTATCATAGCTTGCCACAGAACTTGTTTAGGCTCCCTAAACTTTTAACGGTTTAAAAGTTATCAAAAAATATGAAATAAATATGGGTGCATCTCTCTAATGTAATAAGTTGATCCAACGGAGGGATTGTTAAAATATGCATCTATGTGTCCTCGGCAAAAATAATAAGCATTTCAGCTCACTGCGACATAAATATATACTGAACTAATTTTTTTTTCGTGCAGGACACATGCAGTCGTATTTTTTTAATCCCTCCGTTGGATCATGTTATATTATAGGTGTGTTGGTTCAGTATTTTTTTCAGAATTTTTGAGAACTTTGGCACCGTTGAAACCCTTAACTAGTTCTGTGGCAAGCACTTGTAGAAAATCCTACTCCTAATATTTTGGTAAGGAGGGAGTAATATATGTGGTCAAAGTTGTGCATTAAAGATCATGCAAAGTCAAGCACGCCTTATATTTTGGCAAGGAGGGAGTAATATATGTATAAAAACAAATAAAATTACTAGATTCTAGAAATACTTTCGAAGACAAATCCATACATATGATTTTCAAAATTCTAATGTGAATATTTAAAATGATAGAAATAGAAAATTTTAGAAGTCTGACTGAATATATGGCCAAATGTCACCTATTTGTGATATGGAGTACCTTCACTTCATTAAATCAATGCGGTGGCTATCCATATAATAATAAATAGGGGTTTCATCTTTTGGAAGGAACGAATTGGTTACAATCTTACAGAAGTTATTTTGGAACAAATTCTAAACCATATGGGCTATTAAAGAAGAAGGGAACAGAAGGAATTGAGTTCAGCAAGAGAATGATTTATTGAAACTCAGACTAAAAGACAAATAACAGAACATAGCAATCAGTGTTAATAAATTAGAGCATGCTTCTGAAACTGCATCTTTCCTGAGTAGGCGTATTCCACACCGGGATTGCCGATTCCTCACCAGATAAGGAATTAGAGCACGTTTGTTGAAACTTTTCCCTCCCTCTCACGCTGCCTGTATCTTTCCTGAGTAGGCCTATTCCACACTGGGATTGTTGATTCCTCGCCAGAGGACCAGTTTCTCACCAGAGCTTGTCTGTTGCCTAATGCTTTGCCTAGGCCAAAGCAAGGAGTTTTACCATCCCCCAGCTCTTAAACGCGCTAAAGCTTACATGTAAAACGCTTTAATATATGGTTATGAACCAAGCCAAAAACTGAGCCTAGCCCACTTGGTTGGGTGAGTGCATCTACAATCTCACCAACTTGATTCAAGTCCTCGTG